AACAAGGCCACACCCAGCTGCACCCTACACAGCGATTTTCCAGCTAATGGACTACAATCGGTTCCTGCAGTCTGAATGCGCTTGTTACTGGGTCGGGTTAATTATGCAACTAACCCTTTCACACTGCCACCACCTTCTTTTGTACAGAGAAAAAGGAAACTCTCTTTATCCAATATACACTGTAATGGTTGAAAAGTCACCTGTCTAGTACAGTCACTGCAGGCCGATTGGGCAGAGGATTAAACAAACACAGTAGCGTCTCTTCAAAAGGCAGGAATTCGTAAATTGCAATTAAGTGCTTTAGAAACAGTTTAACACTTTCAGAAAGAAAGATTTATTACTAAAAGAGTCAAACAGGGGCAATAAAATATTTACAAAGAAAATGTAACTAAGATATATATTTATATATAAAAACCGCACAGCATAGCAAAGAGATAGCAGGGAGAAGTTAAAAGGTTAAGTTACTTGCCATGTTAAGCCTTAAGGTAAGCAGATCCAAGTTGCAGAGCGGAAAGGGTCTTTGATCTCCTGCTGTTACGATGTTAAAATTAGGAGATGTGTTTAGCTTAGCTCAGGCCTACAGCCTGTGTTTTTTAAAGTCCCCCAACAAGGGGGGTGGCTCTGAGTAACTGGCCAATACCTGTTTAGGGAGGGATGTCGGGGTGACTCTGAATTAAAACCAACATCTGTCATAATCCATGATATGAAACATAGGGGAAAACCAGATCTGTTAAAAATGTTATCTTGTTTGTGTTTCTGGGGAATGCCTTGAACTCTCCAGAAGGTTCTGCCATCCTTCCCCGAGGTGTGAAATCACACAGGTCCCTTGGACAGAGAGTCTGCTGTCTCTATGGGGGGGCTTTGTAGCGCTGGGCCTCCTGCTGCTCCAGCCTGCCAGCAACTTTTAACACTTACACATCTGTCCCTGTGCCTCAGGATTGAGGAATACTTCTAATAAAAAAGGGGAACTCCGCGTCCAACTCTGATGAGCAAGTTTGCTACAAGATGGATTCCAGGAAGTAAATGCTACATGAATAATATGCCCTTACACAAGATGGCCACTGCCAAAAATACCAGGGGGTGTTTTTCAAAAATAATTCTCAGCAAAATAAAGCACCGAGACATGGATGGATGGGTGGGTTTGCTTTGAATATTGCCAAGGAATTAAAAACAGCATTTTTTGATTTGTGGTGCTCAGATGCAGTGCAGTTCCACTTTAATGTCCAGACTTCTATGAGTGCAGTCTGCTACAGTAAATTCTCACCTCCTTCCAGAGATCTTCACTACACAAATTGTGTAAGTACAGTACTCTGTCTTGATATCAGCCTCTGGTAAAATGGGTGTACAAAAGTTGTACTCAAAGTGGGGAGAGCCAACACTAGAAGCCATTCACGTATGCTACATCTACATTTGCTTACAAGGAACATTCTAAGCAGAAGAGAGAGATAACCTTATCAATCTGCTGCAGCTTCTTCTCTTTCTAATTTCACGCTGAAGGAAGAGGTGACAAGGCTGTACTGCATAACATCAGTACAGAAAGTAAGGGCAGCTACCTGGCAAGCTATGAAGGTTGTGTAAATTGTAGGACTAGATGGACAGATACAAATCCAACTAGAAAAGCTACAATTTCTGGGGAAATTGTGTGAAGTGTTCTTGCCTCCACCAGTAGTCTACAACTGGAGTGGGTGGAGTAACTGGGTGGAGTGGCTTGTCACCCTGCTGCCTGCTCACACACACCTGGGTTCCTATGGCAACTCACTCTACAACAAGGGCAGAGAAGAGCGGTTAAAAACAAACTGCTCCAACTTGCTCACTTCACTGGCGGTTGCCATCTTCAAACGGTTGTAGTTTAAAAATTATAAATCCTACACCGAAGAGCTTTATATTGTGAGAATCACAAGACCCAGACCTACATTGTGATGCATAGTATGTCTCTAAAATATTAAAAATGAAGGCACAGTCGCAGTGTAGAAATTGTCCTTCAAATTTGAGGTGGCTAGAGTGGAGTTTCAATGAATGTCAATGGGCGACGTGAGTTGCAAACAAATGGTCACATTGTGAAAACTATCAGGACTATGGCTTAGCCATGGACATTTTTAGTGGAAGCAGGGATAGCTGAACATTTTGATATAAGATTTGTGTAGGTGGGCTTGAAAATGAGGGAGTGATGGCAGTTTAGAAATCATGTTCTGATTTTTCAGCTCACACTCTAGCCTTTGTCACTCTGCTGCCTGCTCACACACCTGGGTTCCTATGGCAAATCACTCTACAGCAAGGGCAGAGAAGAGCGGTTAAAAACAAACTGCTCCAACTTGCTCACTTCACTGGCGATTGCCATTTTCAAACGGTTGCAGTTTAAAAATTATAAATCCTACACCGAAGAGCTTTATATTGTGAGAATCACAAGACCCAGACCTACATTTTGATGCATAGTATATCTCTGAAATATTAAAAATGAAGGCACAGTCGCAGTGTAGATATTGCCCTTCAAATCTGAGGTGGCTAGAGTGGCGTTCCAATGAATCACCCACACCCTTATCAAATCAGGACCTGCGACTGAGTTCATCCCCATAGAGTAACAGACAGCAACAAACTGCCCATTCACACTGTATGGGCCAGAGAACTCGTGTGAATGAGCCCTCAATTTCTTTTAATGATTTTTTACAATTTAAAAAAAAAAAATTCTAGTTTTTGCAAATGATATTTTTACAAAGTTTAAAACTGCTATTTATATAAATCTTAAATTATATTTTTACAGTTTAAAAAAGTATATTTTTACAATTCTTAAAAATTATATTGTACAACTTTTTAAAATGACTTTTTACAACTTTTTTTTCAGCGCTGTTGGGGGGGGCGCAAATATCAGGGGTCTAAACAGACCCCTGACATCTCACTTTTGAGGCAGAGAAAGGAAGACAGAGACACAGCAGAGACAGATTCTCCAAATCCTTTCTCTGCAGCCTCAGCATTGAAGATGAATGAACAGGAGACAGAGGCTTGTGTTCATTCATGAACTGAAGCATAGTAAACACAGTTTGCTATGCTCGGTTATCAACTGGCACAGGAACGATCAGTACCCATCACTCACTGTGTCCATTCAGAAAAGGCATAGGTTGGTAAATTACATATTGCTGACAGCTGACACCTGCAGAGTACAGTGGAAGAGGAAAGCCAGCAGCTCTGTGGGAGGTAGTTAGAATGGGCACACGGTGGGGTCATCAGATGTGGGCAGGACAGGGAGGAGGATTGGTGCAGTGGGGCAGTTACAAGAACTATGCCATTTGTGTCTCTCCCTCCAGCAGCTGAAGGATGGCGGAAGGGAGAGGGGGAGAAACCGGCTTTCGCCTGCTGCAGTGCAAAGTTCCTGTAAGTGACTGGTGGCCCCTATCAGCGACCCTTACTGCATATATCACCTCAAACACCACTAACCTGCTGTACTCATACAATAACTTAAAGCGGAACTTCGCTCTCTCAATCAACACTATTTTTTATCCTTATGCTGCTAGTATTAGTAAAAAGGTAGGAAAGTATAACAGATTTAGATTGTAAGCTCCATGAGCAGGGCCCTCCTATTCCTTCTGTACTGAACTGTGTTGCAATTGTACTGTCCCCCTTTATATTGTAAAGTGCTCTGTAAACTGTTGAAGCCATATAAATCCTGTATAAAAATACTTGTTTTAAACTTTTTTTTTCAAAAATTTCTTCACTTATATCCTGGTTTCTAGTCCTAGACAAATGAGGTCATGCATCCCAGGAGTCTTCAGGAGGGGTTTTCTCAACTAAGCACACCCTCCACCTACATGCCTGAGCTAAGGGTAGATGGATTCCAGCAAGTAAATGCTACATGAATCATCTGTCCTTACACAAGATGGCCACAGCCAGAAATGCTATAGGGTATTTTTCGAAGTGATTTCTCAGCAAATCAAGAGACATGGATAGATGGGCGAGTTTGCTTTGCATATTAAAAATTAATCAAATGGCATTTTTGTTCTGTGCTGCTCAGATGAAGTATAGTTCCACTTTAAGTCTACCAAAAACACCAGTGTGTTACAAAATAGACTATTTCCATATTTCAGTGAGGATTTTACAGTGGAACAATGGTTTCTCAGAAACAACAGGATCTGCTCTCATCAGGAGAATATCAGAGATGTAATCTATATCAATCATATAAGGAGATACACCAGTAATATACGATATTCCTATAATTCCTATAATATTTTAACAGATATGTAGCTCCAATATTCCCCTGATGGAAAGAAACCTGTTATATCCGATAAATGTACTAAGCCATCCTCATTCTACTGTAGGATCAGCACTTTAATATGGAAGAACACTATTTTGCAAAACTCTGTTAACCACTTGCTCTCCAGAAGATTTACCCCCCTTAATGACCAGGCCATTTCTTGCTATTTGGCACTGCGCTATTTCAACTGATAATTGTGTGGTCATGCAACGCTGTATCCAAACGAAATTTGTGTCCTTTTTTTTTCACAAAACTGGAGCTTTCTTTTGGTGGTATTAGATCACCACTGGGTTTATTTTTTGTGATATAAACTAAAAAAGACTGAAGTTTGAAAACAAAACCCCAAAAACTATATTTTCTACTTTCGGTTATAAAAAATATCCAGTAAATAAAAAGTTAATCATTAACTAGCTGCCGACCACAGATAGCCGAATGACGGCTGCACTGCGGCCGGCCAGTTCTGGGTGGACGTCAGAACCGGGCGCGCGCACCCGGCGATCTCCGTGATCGCTGTGTCCTACGGACACAGCTGATCACGTGATGTGGTAAAAGGCCAATCACAGCGGCCTTTTACCACCTGATCAGCGGTGTCCAATGACACGCTGATCAGAGGGAAATGCAAGTGCCGGTTCTCGGCTGCACTTTCCTCACGCTGTCAGATCGTGAGGAAAGTACTGCCGAGAACCGGCAGTTGTCAGAGCGGGGATCGGCACCGATCATCAGGGCACTGATGATCAGTGCCCTGATGATCGGTGCCCAGCAGTGGCACCCGCAAGTTCCGCCCACCTGTGCCCAGCAGTGCGCCCACTAGCTCCGCCCACCTGTGCCCAGCAGTGCACCCACCTGTGCCACTCTGCAGTGCCACCTACCTGTGCCCAGAAGTGCCACCTACCTGTGCCCAGAAGTGCCACCCACCTGTGCCCACCCACATGTGCCCACCAGTGCCACCCACCTGTGCCCACCCACCAGTGATGCCCACCAGTGCCACCCACCAGTGCAGCCCAGCAGTGCTGCCAGTCAGTGCCACCAGTCAGTGCCCAGAGGTTGTGCCAGTCAGTGCCGCCAGTCAGTGGCCAGCAGTGATGCCAGTCAGTGCCGTCTATCAGTGCCCATCATCAGTGTCACCTATCAGTGCCGCCTATCAGTGCTGCATATTAGTGCCGCCTATCCGTGCCACCTCATTAGTACTGCCTATCAGTGCCCTTTAGTGCTGCCTATCAGTGCCCATCAGTGCCGCCTATCAGTGCCCATCAGTGCTGTCTCATCAACGCACATTAGTGAAGGAGAAAAAATACCTGTTTGAAAAATTTTATAATAGAAACAAAGAAACTTTTTTTTTTTCAAATTTTTTACACTTTTTTTATTTTTAGCGCAAAAAGTAAAGCGCCCAGTGGCGATTAAATACCACCAAAAACAAAGCTCTATTTGTGAGAAAAAAATGATCAAAATTTCACATGGGTACAATGTTGCATGACCGCGCAATTGTCAATCAAAGTGCGGCAGTGCTGAAAGCTGAAAATTGGCCTGGTAAATAAGGGGGTATAAGTGCCTGGTAGGCAAGTGGTTAATTTATGACAGGTATATATCCTGGAATGTACGCACCTTTTACTTTCTGACTGCCTATCACATTTCTTGAGGTGCCAATAATGCCAGGGTAGTACAAAATACCCCAAATTGCCATAAATTTATGGAAAAATTACTTTTTTTTTTTTTTTTGTTACACAAAGTTGTCACTTAAATGATATATTGCTCATGCATGCCATGGCTATATGTGGAATAACATCCCAATCACACTCTGCTATGGGGATACCACATATGAGACTTTTTGGCAACTTAGCTACATACTGGCCCCGAAAATCCAATGACCACCTCCAGGCTTTCAAAGGGCATATTTCTTCATGTCATTTCCTCATTACTATCACAGTTTCGGAGGCTCTAAATTGTCAGGATAGTACAAACTCCCCCCCCCCCCCCCCCCCAATGACCCTTTTTTGGTATTTTTGGTGAGTATTAGCTTTTGAAAAAGAAAAGAAAGAAATACATTTTAGATTTCTTTCTTCATTTTCTTGGAGTGTCTACTTTCCAAAAATGGGTCATTTTGGGGGGGGGGGGGGTTCCACTATCCTGGCATTTCAGGGCTAACAGAAGCTTATGCCACACATCACCCACTCTTCTAATCACTTTTTTGACACTTTCTTTTTTGTAGCTGCAGGCAACCTGATATATCCACTCAAAGTCCAGCGATGTACCAGTATGTTGCTGGTCCTTTTTTGCATATATATATATATATATATATATATATATAAACAGCAGAGAACATAGGCATATGATAAATCAGGTTTGTGGATCAATATGACTGCAATTCATTCTTTTTTGTAATGCCCATGTTGAGGGTTAGGCCCAAAAAAGTTTTTAAATTCAGAAAAAGTGATAGGTTTCCATGAGAATAGTCTGGCAAGAGCTGAATTTGAACAGGTGGCCATATATTGTTGTGCGTATAAATTGCTTTGGCCCACAATTAATTGATACAAATCTTCTGTGAAAAACAGTGGAGCGGCTAAACGTTAGTGCTGACAGCGAACGGGGCTGATCCGGCTAACACTGTGTTTTTGGGAACACTATACTAAGGAGGCACTAGTATAGTTCTGTTTATGATCAATATATTGATCCATACAAACACTATACTAGTAATGGCGGTGATCAGCGACCTATAGCATGAGTGCGATAGTGTGCAGGCAATCGAACGCTAGCTTACCCTGGCTGGGAGAGGAGCTTACAGACCCTGACGCTATCTGATATCGCTAGTGACAGTAATAAAGTGATCAGTGAAAAATTCTATATACTGACGCTGTATTAACTGGCTGGGTGACGGGGTGGTCAAAGGGTTAGTAAGGGCGATCAAAGGGTTAAATGTGCTAATTTACCATGTCTGTGTGTGTGTATAAATTGTAGTGCTTTTACTCAGTGCCGTGTTCTCTCTTTTCTCCCTGGACCGGCACAGGGGGCAGCGGGGGGCACACGTATGCGCGCACACATCCAGAAATAGATAGCGACGTAAGGATATGTAATGAATGGGTTAAGTTAATATCAGTTTAAAATACAGTGATCTGTGATCGGCTCCAGTAGGTCACATGCTACAGGGTACTGTGATTGTCCCCAGGTACCACATGAGAGCTGTAGTCCAACACAGCTCTCCAGGAACAGAAGCAAAGCTGTTATGAATCAGATTGATTCACAACAGCTGGGTCCAGATTACCAGGATCCGCATTACCCTATGTTCACAACTAAGCGTTTTCCACAGAGTTTTGCATTTTTCAGAAACACACTACAGTCCATTTAACATGATTTCCTATGGGGCACATTCACATCTCCGTGTTTTCACCCGATGTGTTTTTTTAGAAAGGGTCAGGGACTCTTTTAAAAACGCAAAAAGTTGTGTTTCTGGTACTATAGATTTCAATGGAAAAGCTGCAGAAAAGCATGTCACAGCGAACATGGGGGGGGGGGGGATTGAGGGTTGCTCGCCCATGTGTTGGTACAGCACCAGTATGGAATTAGTTATTATTATTATTATTATAATACAGGGTTTATATAGCGCAAACAGTTTACGCAGCGCTTTACAACAAAAGAGCAGATAGTACAAATTAATAAAGGAGGATTCAGAGGGCCCTAATGCAGGCCATAGATGGGTCAAAAACCGTCCGTTTAAAAAAAAAAAAAAAAAAAAAAAAAATCGAAAAATCGGTCGTTCAATAGGCCGACATTACCACCAACGGTATAAAAAAAAAATGGCCGATTTTCGTCCCGTCTACGGCCGGCATTTAATTACTTCTGTCCCTGCAGAGAGCTCCGCTATTATATTTGACAGGAAAAAGTATAGCGGTTGCAACATTGTATCTATTTATATCCATTTCAGATACAGATGTTTTTATTCAGATACAAATAGATACATTGTTGCAACTGCAATACTTTTTCATGTCAAATATAATAGCGGACTGGAATTATTATTCTTCTTTTTCTTCTTCTTGCAGGTCACTGCTCATGCGCAGAAAGATCGGCCGAATTTCCCATAATGCAGGCCATAGATGGGTTGAAAATCGGCCAATTTTTCGGCCGGAAAAAAAAAAATAATAAAAAAATTGGCCGATTTTCTCAACGTTAATGGGTCGGCCGCTTTTCTAGATTTTGGCACATTTTTTTTGATCGGTAAAGTTGGAAAACAAATTGGCCGATTTTCACGGCAATGATGGGGGGGGGGGGGGGGGAGGAAGGGACGAGGATCAGGAGCACGAAGATGAGGACAAGGAGGACGAGTTACCGTTGGTGGTAACGTCGGCCTATTAAACAACCGATTTTTCGTTTTTCTTTTTAAAAACCGCCGGTTTTCGACCAATCTATGGCCTGCATAAGAGGCAGGGTTGAGAGATACAAAAAGGTAAGAACTGTGGGGGATGGGCTGATGGACAAAATACATGTACAGTTGTTAGGTACTGGCAAGATAGGCCTCTCTGAAGAGATGAGTTTTCAGAGATTGGCTAAAAGTGGACAGAGATAGAGATAGCCAGACACATTGGGGAAGGAAGTTCCAGAGGGATGGGAGCGGCTCTGGAGAAATCATGGAGGCGAGCATGGGAGGAGTTAACAAGGGAGAGCAGGAGGTCTTGGGAGGAACGAAGAGAACAATTCGGTTGGTATTTTGAGACCAGGTTAGTGATGTAACTATGGGCTAAGTAGTGGATGGCTTTATAAGTTGTTGTAAGAATCCTGACTTTTATTTGTTGGGTAAGTAGGAGCCAGTGGAGGGACCGGCAAAGAGGGGTGGCAGACACTGTACGGTTGGTAAGGTGGATGAGTCTGGCAGCAGCATTCATGATGGACTGGAGGGGAGATAGCTTATGCAAAGGTAAGCCAGTAAGGAGGAAGTTGCAGTAGTCAAGGCGGGAGATGACCAGGGAGTGAGTTAGAAGCTTTTTGGTGTCATTGGTTAGGAAGGGGTGTATCTTGGAGATGTTGAGGCGGCAAGCTCTGGACAGCGATTGGATTTGGGACCGAAAGGATAGTACAGAATCCAGGATTACACATAGCACCCTGACATGTGGGGGCGGGTTGATGGTTGAACCATTGATTTTGACAGAGAAGTCAGTGGAAGGGGCATGTAAGAAAGGAAATATTATGAGCTCAGTTTTGGATAGACTGATTTTCAGGAAGTGGTGTGACATCCAGGCCGATATGTTTGTTAGAAGATTAGTGATGCGTGAGGAGACTGATGGGAGTGAGCTGAGGGGTAGAGAGATAGATTTAAGTGTCAGCAGCATAGAAATGGTATTGAAAGCCATGGGAGGCAATCAGTTGACCCAGAGAAGAGGTGTAGATTGAGAATAGGAAGGGTCTCAGAACAGAACCTCGGGGAACACCGAGAAACAAGGAGAAAGGAAGAGGAGAAGAGGAAGTAGAATTGTAACACTGAAGGTGCGGTAGTATAGGTAGGATGAGAACCAACGGAGAGCACAGTCACGGCAACCAAAAGAGTAGTGTTTTAGAAGAGCAGGGAGTGGTCCACTGTGTCAAAGGCAGCATAGAGGTCCAGGAGTAGGAGTAGAGAATAGTGTCCATTGGTTTTAGCCTTATATAGATCATTTGTAAGTTTGAGGAGAACAGTTGCAGTGGAGTGCTGAGAGCAAAATCCAGACTGAAGGGGATCAAGAAGGTTATTCTCAGTGAGGTGGTTGCTCGAGCGAAATCCAGACTGAAGGGGATCAAGAAGGTTATTCTCAGTGAGGTGGTTGCTCAGCTGGTTATAGACCAGGCGTTCAAGGCGTTTGGAAGAAAAGGGGAGTAAGGAGATGGGTTGTAGGTTGTTAAGATTGGTGGGGTCTAGTGAGGGCTTTTTAAGTATGGGAGTAAGTAGTGCATGTTTCAGAGAATTGGGGAAGATGCTGGAAGAGAGGTAGAGATTGAAGATGTGAGTTAAAGAGTGTAGGATAGAGCCAGAGAGTGACCATAGCATTTCCAACAGAACAGGGTCCAGGGGGCACACGGTTAGGTGGGCATTGCGTGCAGGAAGTGGTGATTGTCCCTGTGGAGT